TCATGCAGACTGTTTATTGCACACTTAAGTATACAGTAAGTGCTCTTTGTAATAATGTCAATTTAAACTTTTTACTTTAAAGTACATTTTAAATAATTGTTTTAATAGTCTTTTGTTGTGCTTTAAAGAAGTACACTTATTTTGTTTGTATTTAGTGCATGTAAATACTATAATTACATACTATAAAATAATGACAATGTAAAATATAATATACACTACTATCATTTTAATAAATTAAAGTAAATGTATTTCAAACTGCAGCTTTATTATTACAAATATATTTAAATACATGACATACAATTTTCGATAAAAATGTGATTAGAGAATATTTTAGCTTATCGAAACTTCTTGCCAGTACATTCAACAGTACACTTTAACCAATTTTAAATCACATATAAAAATTTCTAAAAGTTAAGTCTACTCAATTAAGCACTCTTAAGTTCAGCTAATTGCATTTAATATACGTTTAAACTAATTTTCATTTAATTGTAAAAAACAAGCAATTAAGTGTCTGAAAACATAACATTCAATTCACACTTAAACATATATATATATATTTATATTTCCGTAATAAGTACTCATATTTAATAGTATGCTAAAGTGTACTTCTTTTTCAAAAGGGTCAATGTAGTCATGCATCTAAACATTCATCAGAATATCTTCTTTTGTGTTCCACAGAAAAAAGAAAGCGATCTAACTCTTTGTTTTCAGTCTTATTTTTATAGTTTTAACCATATTCATTAGCAATAACAGTCAAGAGAGAACAAGAAATGATTGGAAGATGGAAGAAGCTCCATCACCACGGCTGCACAGTCTCGTTCACGTAATCCGTGCTGAGACTTCGTACTTATGAAATTACTTCGAAATGAATACTAACGCATATCTGTGTATTTATGAATATCATGCAAGTGCAGCAGAGGATAATATAATAGACAGTGACTCAATTTCCTACCTAATATGCAAAATAGCGGAAAAGCAATGCTTTTTGTTTCTCATTATGTCTTCGCATCCCCATAACAAAACATTTTTTTCAAATGCTCTTGACATAGTACATCTACATCGGCACCTTGTGCTGTGGCTAGAAAGCGCTCAGAGCACTTTACTGGATGCACCATTGCCTCTTACTGGACTGTGATTGGCAGGACGGTTGCCACGGTCACCCTGACCCTGTGTGCTGCCTCCAGTCTGGGAAGAAGTCCTGGTAGTTTGACATGTGACAGCTCATGGCTCTAGGGGATGGTGGGTCGCTCTGCAGTCGAGCCATATTAATGTGCTTTTTCTGCTGAAGAACGGGCAGATCAATTATGTTGATATAAATCTCATTGCCAATAAAAGCAGAAGACAGCCTGTGCATTTGTTGTTTGCCAAGCAGCGGCAATATGTGTGTCACTCAAACTTCCCCATCTGCACAGGTAAACAAAGAGAGGTCCCCTGGACAACCCGTGACAATCCTGACATGAAACATTTCAACATATAGCAGAGCAGTCTAATTGATATTGCCTCCGAGAAACGACACTTCATTTTGTTTAACACTCCTGACACTTAAATATGCAGAAAACCTGATGTTAAATACTTTTACAACCAACAAACAAATGACAAATGATTTGCGACCATGGACCACAAAACCAGTCATAAGGGTCAATTTCTTGAAAT